TTCACGACTAGATTTGACTAAGGCATCTTCTAAGTCGCTCTCAGGCTCGAGCAATCAATCAATCAACATAAGCTTCCAACTCATCACCTGCTAAAAATTAAGGGAGAAGAGAGGGACAAGAAAAATAACAAAAATTAGCTTTAGAGCTAAGTAAGTACTACCCAACCCCGTAAAATAATCAGGTTTGGCGAAAATAGTTTTTTCATATAATATTATATAAAAATAACACACAACACCAAAATTCTTTTCTCTTTGATTTTTCTCAAAATCACTTCTTTACTAAAATCCTCAACTTTTCTTCGAAAATATTATAGTAACTCTTCTCTTTGAACTTCTAAAAAAAAATCTTCTTCTCTAACTTCCTTGTAATTTAGAAGGGCGGTGCTCAACCTTTCGGCTGAGCCCGGTGGACCGTGGTTACGAACGGCCACCCCGATCAATGCCGGTACCACAACGCTCTTGTGGAAACGAAACGACTACCTTAAGTGTGCACACCCCCTAAAAGGGATTCCAAGCCCTTCGAGGAGTAAGTCGTCACGAATAGTCGGAACCCAACTACCCCTGAATAAGATATCTCTGAATGATTAGGGACTACTACTACAACTCTGCTTCTTAAAAGGGATCATCGATCCAACTGTCACTCAAACTTATCCTTACCCTTAGTAGTAGCAGCCTTTTTACGTCGGAACTGCGACCCTACACTCCTTAAAAGAGATCATAGATCCAAAAGTTACTCAAAAATCTCTTCTTAGTAGTAGCCCTAATCACTCTCCACATTTTAAGGGACGTGGAAAACCGACACCTCGGATTACTCCCGAGGTGCCTACCTCTTTATGAAATCATTCTTTTATCTTGAATCAATATATCTCAAAATATTCCTCATTTTCTCAAATTGCCTCGAAAATGTTTAAATAAAATATTTAATACCCAAACACACTTAGTTTCACTTCTCAAATATCACAGATCGAACAACTTCAAAATCACATGCATATACATCATAAGTCACACTAAAATCACGTATCACATAGTACATATATAATACGAGGAAATGATTTTAGATTGACAGAGAAACTTACAGTAGGTCCTGATGATCGTAATTCCCTTCCTCAATTCCGGTCTCTAAATATTCACCTTTTTAATTAAGATGATATAATTAGTCACTTGTTTTATTCTTAGCCGATTATCCAATTTCCCCTTCTATAAAATTATTCGAATTATTGTTTTAACAATTCCTTATTACTCGGATTTATCATTATTATCCAATATTATTATTTAATTAAGGTTGATAAACTTCTCTTACTCCGATCTTATAAATTATGAGTAAGTATCAAATCCGACGAATATATTTAATTTAATTCACTGATAAATTTATTCTGTTTTTATCAATTTATTCGTACACTTATGAAATATCAAAATCATCTAATTAAGCTACTACTAGATCTAAAATTATAATGGGTTCCTTTCATGTCTTTGATTAATTAATCAATCCATTTATACCATTATCTTAAATTATGCAATTATTTCAACTTAAAATGACGAATTTACTATAGTGGTTATCATCAATTTAACTGGTCCGATTCCCAACTTTTAATATTCAAATTTCACAATTACCTTAGTCAACATTATTAGAAATTCCGAATATTCTAACAATTATTTAAATTAACTAATCATCATTAACTTAATCTGATTTTATTAATTTACTCAACACTTAATATTTCCGAGTCCGTAATTACGTTAATTTTATTAATCTACTACAATTAATCCAATAGTTAGTAAAAATAATATCTATCCAATTTTACTTGATCTAGTTATGGTACTACGTCATAATAAACTATCATTTCAATATAATATTCGTTTATGAACTCATTTTATCATTTAACATTATGTAATCATTTTAACTAAAAATTAACAAATTTATCCAAGAGTAATATTACTATCAATTAACCCAGCTACATTCATCACTAATACTTCTCATCTCAAATTTATCAATTATTATTATTATTATTATTATTATTATTATTATTCCTATTATTATTGATTTTTTTTTGTCCAAGCTAAATTTAAACAGCCCGAATAAACTAGGCCGGCGAACGGATCCCTACTCCATCCCTCCAAGCTGCCTTCTTTCCAACGGGAGCGGCAGAGTGCAGGTTGTAATAGGCGGTGATGCAGTCAGCGTCCGCTCCTTCCCCGGTGTGCGTGGTTTCGAAGTCCCGCAGTCCGGCGACGTTAGCTTCTTCTCCGGCTATCTTCTCCGGCGGTGATGATGGCTTCACTACTCCGGCGTAAACCAGTCCGGCGCTCCTCCCTTTTTCCTTCGGCTTCGACGTGACCAATCTGTCCAGCCCTCACCTTCTCCTTTCTCTCTTCTCTAGTAGTTATATATTCGTTTGTTCGTTTCCCCTTCTTCCGTTGTGCGCAGGTGTATATATATAAGCATGCACACAAGTAGGTATGTTTGATCGGGCTACTCGAAGCATATTACCTCTACGTATGCCCACCGTATACGACTATTATTACAGTGGCCGTTGCTTTTCTATCACTATTGCCTTGTAATTAATTGTATTATTATTACGTATAAACTATTGATCCATCCGTTATGCAGATGTGCGTATGTAACATAGTTATATAAGAAATTAGCCATAATAGGACTTAAACATGCTAAAAAACTCATATTAGGACTTACCAAGTTTTCTCTCGTTGATAGGACTTATACGGTCCTATCTTACGTTTTACTACTTTAGGAAATATCCTAAATACCCCTGTTCGAAGTTCGCTGAGATTGTTTACACGCACCTAAAATTTACCGGCCTTTTTCGGTTATCCAGTTTGAAGCGGTTAAGGAGTTTCCGTTTTCTTGTTGGTTGAGTAGTTTCCTTATCCGAGTAGTTTCCTTGTTCGTCAATTCTGCATCTTTTTCCTGCATTCGTCGATTCTGAGTACGAGGTCATAGCTGCCTGTGTTTAGTTCTTTTCAGGGTATGTTCACTTCAAATTTAAAGCTTTCATAATATTGGCCGTGATTCTGTTTTCGTTCGTCAATTCTTCTTCAATCGTTGTTACATTGAAGAATAAATTTGTTATATTAGATATACGATCGCTTTTTTCTGCATTCTTTTTCCTGCATTCGTCAATCCTTCTGTTTTTTCCTTCCAGCTCTGTTTTTTTCTTCAATTTCATATTATCGATCCTTTCATCATATGATCGCTTTCAAATTCGTTATAATCAACAATTTATTTCGTATGTCGTTGTACTCTGTTTTATTTCATTAAATTTCATCCGCTAGTTTAGATATCAGTTTGTATCTACAATTTATTTTGTTTTTGTTAAATTCTCTATTCGTCTACCTAAATTATGCCCTTCGAACTGTCATTTTGTTTGTTCGAACTGTCATGTATGTGCATTTTTTTATTACTCCTTTTTATGTTCTGTAATTGTATATAATTGGTACACATTCTTATAAACTGTCATATTGTTAACACAACTGTCATAATTTTGTCCAAACTGTCATTTAGTTTGTGCTACGTTCCTACCTGTATATGCATTTTTTGATTTCGCCTTTTTATGTTCTGTCATTCAATGGTACACATCCTTATAAACTGTCATATTGTTAACAAAACTGTCATTATTTTGTCCGAAGTGTCTTTTTTCATACTGAAATATTTCTTTTGCTGCATTTTTTAGGAACCTTTTTACCACAATGGATCCTATTTTACTTGTTATGGTCAAGGTTGACGGTTTTTGGGATTCTAACAATGTGTTCAACAATGTCCACACATGTGGCCTTCATGTTAACTATAATGTTCAATATGCTTCTTTTATTAACTCTTTGAGTGACATCCTTTCTCAGTACAAAGCTAATCATAATTTCAGGCTTTCTTATATGCGAGATGGATTTCCTCCTCCTGTTACTATAAATGATCAATCTACCTTAACATTTTATCTTTATATCAAGTCTCTTCAACCAGATTTTTCATTGTATCCACTTTGTGTTGAGTTTTATCCTGTTTCATCTTCTCCTGCATTTTCTATTGATGTTGGACCATATGCTTCTCCTTGGTCTGAAAATGTTGTCATTTCTTCACAACAACATACCCCTTATGATGAGAATGTTGTTGTTTCTTCTTCCCATGCTTCACAACAACATACCACTTATGAGAATGTTGTTGTTTCTTCTGCCCAACAACATTCCTCCTCACCTACACTTTCTTTTGATGATGGCCCACCATTTGGTCAATATGAAAATGTTATGCTATCTGGGGTAAGTTGTGGCCAATCCGAAGATATTGTTTCTTGTGGTAACACTGTGTCTGCAACTGTAGAAAATGAATCATCTGAAGACAGTGATGACATGTCAGATGATATGTCAGATGACCTTTTAACTAAATCATCTGACTCATTCTCATTTCTCCAAAATTTTGAAATCATCACACAGTCCCATCCTACTTGTCTTCTTCTCCATGCTATTTACAAAAATAAAAAAGAACTTATCCACCATCTGAAGATGTATGCTATCACAAACCACTTCCAATACAGAACTAAGACATCGAAGAAAATATGTTTGCATGTTATTTGCTTAGATCCAAAATGTTGTTGGAGTGTTCGAGCTGTAAAACTACATGGCGTAACAATGTTTCAAATCAGAAGGTAACTTCAATTTTCCTTCTTTAATTCACTTCATTGTAAATTCTGGTTTATAAGAATGTCATGTTGTGTTGCCATTCTTATACATGACTGTCAACTTCATATTATGTATTTGTATACTAATGTCATTTTTCTTTTCAGATTCCGGCCAGTTCACACATGCTCTATTGATTACAGACAAGGCAAACATAGACAGGCATCTGCTAATGTGATAGCAAATATTATTGCACACAAATACCTTGATGCTTCCAATAAACCATACCCCCCAAACCAAATTCGTGAGGACATGAGTATGCAGTATGGAATTTCCATGTCTTACAACAAAGCTTGGAAAGCACAGAAGAAAGCAATGCAGGTGCAATTTGGTTCTGATCTTGAATCCTATCAGCTTTTGCCTTCAATGGCTTATGTGCTTGAGAAAACAAATCCTGGCTCTATGTTTAATCTAGTCACAGGGAAGGATGATGCATTTTCTACCTTTTTTATGTCATTCAAACCATGGATAGAAGCTTGGCCCTACTGCAGACCTGTTCTTATATGGGATGGTTCTTTCATGAAGGCTTACTATAAAGGCACTCTCCTTACAACTTGTTGCCAAGATGCCAATGATCACATAGTTCCTATTGCATTTGGTATTTGTGGTTCTGAAACTAAAGCTTCTTGGAAATGGTTCTTATCCAAAGTTTGTCAATCAATAAAGTACAGACATGACCTGTACGTAGTATCTGATAGGCATAAAGGGCTTATCAAGGCCGTTTCTGAACTCTTGCCACATGCTAGCCACGGTTTTTGTGTTGCTCATCTTGGTCGTAACATAACATCAAAATTCAGAGGATCTGCAGCTGGTTTGGGATGGAAGTTCAAAGCTGCCTATATGGCAGCAACTATGAAAGAATATGATGACTACTTATCCATGTTGGATTCTGAAGACCCCAGGATAAGGACTTGGCTAGACAAATTAGGTGCTAACACATGGTCAAAAGTAATGTCTGGCCCAAAGAGATATAATATTATGACATCAAATTGTGCTGAGTCTATGAACAAAGTCAATGTCTGTGCTAGAGAGTATTCTGTGTCTAAACTTGTTGATTTCTTGCGTGAAAGGATGCAGCAATGGTTCACAGAGAGGAAAGATAAAGCTGAGAAAACAAGTACTATACTCGCAAAGAAATGTGAGAAACGCCTGGTAGCTTTGCAAGCTGAATCCACACGTATGAAGGTATGTCAAAGCTAATTTTTTGACTTTGAATACCATTAGCCCGTTTTCATTTTTTCATCTCCTTTTATAATTCCACTTTTTTTGTTAATATGTCATTTTGTCTTTATAATTTTGTCATTTTTGTGTACTTCATATTCAAATAGTCTTATTAGCGTTTTTATTTATCATTTCTCTTCTACTTAATATTCATATATAAGTTGACATTTTACATACTTCATAACCACATTTTTTTTAAACCCGGTAGGCAAACCACCAAAATCAGTGGGGTAAATGCCGGGGAACATTTACCGGATATTATAGAAGAAATAAAACCGATTACACAAGGGGGGACATAACACCTTACCCTTAACGGTACAGAGCTCACATAAAGAGCAGAAAATAAACGAACGCAGATCTATAAATAAATATAAGGAAACGATGAAGCATCCAATGTTAAAGCTCCTGCTAAATCTTTGGGTACGTTATCTCCCGATCTCCAAAAAAAGGGCTCAAGTAGGCCCATTTTCGCCACAGTCACCGCAGCTAGGTTCGCTGGGCCCGGGATAAAGGTGAAGCAAATGTGAGGCTGGCCCATTAAGTTGCTGTCCACCTGAAGAGTCTTCGAGAAGGGAGATTCAATTTCTAAATCAGGAAACAGAAGCGTCTTTCCCCACTCCACCGCCTTAGCCAAGGTTTCTTCCTCCATCCTCGTGGATCCGCTCAACGGAAAGCCTTCTGCTGCCACCATAGCTCCTTCATGGTCTCGAAGTAAAAAGCCAGCTGAGGATTTACCGTTACCCCTAAAGATTGCCCAGTTGAGTTTGAGTCGAGAATTCTGCGGTTTCAACCACCTAAATATCTGCGGTTTCCTCCTGTTGAAAGATGAAGGTATGAGACCTAAACTTTTCAATCTTTCATTTCCTCGAATGTTCATATTAGCATAGCACCATGTTAACATATATTTTTGAATCTTTTTGAGCAACATGTCCACCGTAGGGATTGAGCTGTTCCAGATCGCTTCCCAATATTCCTTCCATAGGTGCCATACAATGACCCCAGGTAGAACCATCGCGTAAATTGTATCCATTGTATTTCCAGCTTTGGAAATCCACCACTTCATAATTTCCATTTTGATGCTATTGACAGATCTACCTCCTAGAAGCAGAGTAGTCGAGAAGAAACTCCATACTGATCTGGCTAGTGGACATAAGAGAAGAATATGGTCTTCTGAAACACTGTCTTTCTTACAGAAAGGGCAAATGGTAGGGTAAGCAGCTGAGAAGGTCGCTAGCTATTCTGGAAATGGTAGACACTTATGCCATAACCTCCAAAGAAAAATCCTAATTTTGGGCACCTGTTTAGGGTTCCAAATTTGTGTATTAGATAAAATCCTCCCCTCCTGTGGCCAAAGTGCAGAATATGCAGATTTGGTTGTAAAAATCCCCTCTGAAGTATGAATCCATGTAATAGAACTAGTACCCCTGATAACCATCCCTTCTGCCTCCTCATGAATGAGGCTGATCCTTCTCCAAACAGGAGAATCAGTAGGCTTTACTTCCCCCAGATGTCTTGACCCATATTTACTCTGCATCAAGTCTGTCCAAATGGATTGACTATTCTGGAAATCCCACCATAACTTCATGGCTGATATCTTTTGAGTATCAGCTATGGATCTAATGCCCAGCCCACCACTCATAGTAGGTTTACATAGACTGTTTAGCTTTGCCCAGTGATATTTTGGTTTGTTATCTCTGATTCCCCAAAAAGAAATTTGCAATCTTTCTATTTATCATGTTCACCACAGACCTCGGTAGATCAGTCACTGCCATCACATGTAATGGTAAAGCGTTGAGAACATGTTTTATCAGAATTAGCCTTCCTCCTTGTGACAGCATCTTCATCTTCCAGGTAGATAGTTTTTTCTCAAATGCTTCCAACATATCTTTACAATGAGATAGTCTAGTAATGCCTTTGTGGAGCTGAACCCCTAGGTACTTAAGTGGCAATTTAGTAGATTTCATTCCTAGCTCATTTTCAATATATAGAATTCTCCCCAGAGTAGTGTGTTTCCCAGCCACAAAACTGCTTTTATCTTTATTAACCAATTGGCCAGAAGCATCTTGATATGATTGCAAAAATGTGTTGAAGTTTTTGATAGGCTTAGAAGAACCATTCATAAAGATCATCAGGTCATCCGCAAATGCCAGGTGAGTAATCTGCAGTCCTCTTCCCATGTTAAAACCCTCAATAGCACCCCGCATCCTCAGTGAATTCAATCCTCTTGAAAACGCTTCTGAAACAATAATAAAAAGTAAAGGAGAGAGGGGATCCCCCTGTTTGACCCCTGTAAAAGGCTTAAAAAAACCATAAGATGCTCCATTAATTAAAATGGATATGAATGTGCTATTTAGATTCCCCAAAATCAGCCTGCGAACTCCAAAGTCAAAGCCAAATTTTTTCATAATAGCATCCAAAAACTCCCAGTCAACCCTGTCGAATGCTTTAGCCATATCAAGCTTTATTACCAAATTTGAGCCCTTAACTTTTTTATCAAGGCTATGAAGCAACTCTTGCGCCACCAGAACTTGGTTTTTAATATCCCTACTCTTCATGAAACCTAATTGCTCTTTAGAGATAATTTTGGGTAGAATAATCCCCATTCTGGATGCCAAAATTCTTGTATTGATTTTACTCAAGAAAGAAGATAGACAGATAGGGCGAAAATCTCCAAAAGATGTAGGGCTTTTTTTCTTGGGTATCAATATCATATTAACACTTCCCACTCCTTTAGGAACTCTCACCCCCAGAAAAAATTCTTGTACCGCCATAATTACATCTCTCTTGATAATATCCCAGCATCCTCTATAAAAACCTCCACCAAACCCGTCAGGCCCCGGTGTTGCATCCTGATTGAGTCCCCACACCGCCTCTTTAATTTCATCTTCTTGTGGCAGTTTTAATAAGCTGTTATTATCCATCCCATCTATAATCTCAGGAATATAATGAAGCACATTATCGAACTCCTTAACCTGTCCCTTAGCATATAAGTTTGAAAAATAATCAACTGCCTCTGTACCAATCTCTTTTGGATCATAGCACCATTCCCCATTAGCTTTTTTGATTGCCTGAATATGTTGCCTTCTAATTTTATCCCGCACCGTCTCATGGAAAAACTTCATACTAGCATCTCCCTGTTTTATCCACTTGACGTTTGCTTTTTGTCTCCAAAAGGTGTCTTGTTGCTTAATCCTCAAAAGAAGCTCAGCCTGCTTTTTATGGCAGACTGCCCTATTAGAGTCAGTAGGATTCTCTTCATATTCTTTTTCCGCTGCCAAAGCCTCAACCTCCAGATTTTGGGTGGAATTAAAAATGTCCCCAAACTCCTCCCGGTTCCAGATCTTCAAATCAGCCTTAAGGGACTTAAGCTTATCACAAAGTCCTCGCATTCCACCCACCGTTGGATATTCCTTCCACCTCTTTGCCACAAAAGGTAAGAAATCCTCGTTAGAAAACCACATATTTTGAAAACGGAATTGTTTAGGTCCATTTCCGGTATTAAGCTCACACATTAATAGGATTGGGCAGTGGTCTGAAGGAGTTTTACTTAAATGTTGAATGTGAATAGCATCAAATTTAGCTACAAAACATTGATTTGCAAGATAACGGTCAAGTCTCTCCCAAATTCTGCCATTCAATCTCATGCCTGACCAAGTATATGTTGACCCAATAGATGGTAGTTGATTAAGCATACACTCATTAATACAATCCTGAAAATCCAAAATGTCATTCAAAGGAGGGTTGGACTGACTTTTGTACTCAGAAATCGAAGAGACCACGTTAAAATCTCAACCCAATAACCATGCAAAATCCCCCATATGTTCGACTTCCAAAAGTCCTGCCCAAAGTCGAGCCCTATCTTGCCTGGTGTGGAGTCCGTAAACTGGGGAGAAAACAAATGCAAAATCTAAAGGGATGTACACCACCCTAGCCACCAAAAACTGATCTTTTTCAACAATGGATGCCACCTCAAACTCACATGTATTCCACATGAGCCAGATTTTATTTGTAGCTGCCATATACAAATGCGTAAAACCAAGTTTGTTCCTATAAAAGTGACCCTTATTTTGATCAACAAGTGGTTCAATAATAGTAACCATATTTACAGAGTAGTGCCTAATAATATCGTGTAACCTCGGGCACGAAGAAGCGAGGCCACGAAGATTCCAAGTGAGCATCTTCATAGGGAAACCTTAGAGTGGGTTTCCGTGTTGCTCCTCCTAGCCGCTAGCCTTGTAGTGACCGAAACCGGAGGATAATTCTCCTTGATCTTTCTTCTTCCAACCACTCCAACCAAATCCTGTTTTTGGACTGCCTGACTCACCTTGTCTTGGAGTTCCTTACATACCTCCGTCCACATCTCTTTTGTCAAATCCTCCATTAATATTTGATCTCCCTCCGAAACATAACCTGCTTGCATTATGGTCACCATTTCCTCCCCCTTCCTGATGCTTCCTTCCTCAAAATTGATTAGTTTTGTTACATCCGTAGCATGTGAAACCAGGTCCAGGTCTGAAGCCTTGTTAGAAACATCTTCCCCTACCTCCTTTTGAGATTGCATTATATCATTTTCCCCCACTGGTGGAGTCTTCTTCAGTGTATCTCCCTCCCCTTCCACTTCTGAAGTTAGTTGGTTTGGTTGACCTACCATATCCACCTCTTCAATCACAGTATCTGGGATCCCCTCTGCGGTCGTAATAGCAACCTCTTGAGCAGATCTCCCCTCAGTTTCTTGACGGGCAGCCTCCTCCCCCCTCCTTGAGGATTCCAGCTTGTCCACTAAGCTATCCATCTTCTCCTTTCCATTTTTTTTCCGTGTGATTTGTACCCATTGGTCAGTCACTTTTTGATCTTTCACCTTTTGGATAGCCTTCCCAACATCCTTTTTGGCACCAATCACTCCCATGTTCTGTGACTTACTTGTAATCTCCATACGTTTAGGTATCCCACAATCTCCTTTTTTGTGTCCCAATTTATTGCATTTCAAACAATAGACCGGGAGATCTTCATACAAGACATTTTGAATAATTTCTTTCGATCCATTCATAATCAGTACCTTAGAGGGGATCTCCTGCAATAGGTCTAGTTCCACACAAACTTTTGCCGTTGAAGGACGAGTGAGGTTTGCCGTAGCTGCATCAACTTTCAAGGGTTTTCCAATCATTCCCGATATGGAAAAAAGTGCACGTTTGTCTTGTAGATGCAAAGGTAGTCCTTCAAAAGTGATCCAAACTGGAACTATTGGTGATTCCACATCCGGTCTGAAGTCTGGAGTCCACCGCGTGACTCTCATCTTGAAACCTCTAATGCTCCACACCTGCCTAAGCCAACATCTTTGGAAATCATCCTCCATAGAAAATTTAATCAGAACATGGCGTTGATCGAGGAGACCCAATGAAACCGGCCCTTGAAACCCTATCTTATCAAACTCTTGTCGTAAGAGGATCATAGACGGTCTACCCCTAACGAAGGATCCGACTAATGCAAATTTATGTTGAGCAGCAAGAGTTGAAACTTCTTCTTCTGAGAATTGCACGGCAGGCATTCCACGATGCCGATAGGGTGTTTTCAAGGGTATTTCTTTGTTCGCAGCCAACACTTCAGCAAAAGATCTCTTTGCCGCCCCCGGCACTGCGGCCGGGGCGGCCCATGCAGACGTCGTCGTCATGAGCACCTCCGCCTAGGGTTTCAAGGTCCTCACCCCTTTACCTTTCTCTTCATAACCACATATTACTGCTATATTCTTTTGCTAATTCTCTTTTTTATCTACTTTCATATTCTTATTTTTTTTTCATAGGTTAAACCATCATGTGCATATGAATTTGAAGTTGTTGACAGTAGATGCAAGTCCTTTGTGGTAAACCTCAACTCTAGAAGTTGTACATGCGGCCACTTTCAATTAGATCAATTTGTGTGTGTTCATGTTGTGGCTGCAATCGGTATACGCCCACACCTTTCATGTTATACGTACATATCTCCATATTACACAACAGATGCTTGGCTTGCTACATGGTCTGGTATCATGCATCCTATTGCTGATCCTGACAGTTGGTCAATTCCTGCTACTATTCAAAACCAGAGATGCAAGCCACCAAGTTGTTTGAAGCGTCCTCCTGGTCGCCCTAAGAAATGCAGGATTCCATCCATTGGAGAATATAGAGGTTCAAAACGTCAAAAATGTTCTAGATGCCATGTGCTTGGGCATAATAAGAAAACTTGTAGAAATCCAATTCCAATTAATACCCAGTGATGTAGATTTGTCCACTCATTTTATGTTGTCTTCTGTTTTTTTTTGTACTTTTAACAATTCTACTATGTGGTTTGGACTTGGTTATCATTTCGTTGAACGTTTAAGGTTTTGTGCTTTAGCCATTCTTGGCATTTAAGTGTTTATGACTTGTGCTTTATCCAAATGTTTTATCCTAAATGTCATCTCAATAATGTAATGTCATTTTGTTTATGTATAAATGACATATGTGACATTTGATGGCATTTTGTATTCCACAAAATGTCATGTTACTTGTCAATTTGTTGTCATTTATTTACTACATGTAAATGACATTCAATCCTAGTATCCATCTACATGTTACTATAAAAAATGCTCTAGATAAACTTGCCAAGGGGACGTACGTCCCTTTAACAGATAGATTTTTTGAACGTAATTTAATAAAATGCATTGTCACAATGCATTGTCATAAAACATATTTCATACGTTTTGAATATAGAGGTTCAAAACGTCAAAAATGTTCTAGATGCCATGTGCTTGGGCATAATAAGAAAACTTGTAGAAATCCAATTCCTATTAATACCCAGTGATGTAGATTTGCCCACTCATTTTATGTTGTCTTATGTTTTTTGTACTTTTAACAATTCTACTATGTGGTTTGGACTTGGTTATCATTTCCTTGAACGTTTAAGGTTTTGTGCTTTAGCCATTCTTGGCATTTAAGTGTTTATGACTTGTGCTTTAACGAAATGTTTTATCCCAAATGTCATCCCAATAATATAATGTCATTTTGTTTATGCATAAATGACATATGTGACATTTGATGGCATTTTGTATTCCACAAAATGTCATGTTACTTGTCAATTTGTTGTCATTTATTTACTACATGTAAATGACATTCAATCCTAGTATCCATCTACATGTTACTATAAAAAATGCTCTAGATAAACTGGGCAAGGGGACGTACGTCCCTCTAACAGATAGATTTCAAAGTTGATGTCATTTTGTTTTCTAAAAACTGTCATCCAAATGTCATTTATCACGGATTTTCTTCATGTAAAAATCTGTGCTTACATAAATATAAGTACCCTGTGTAATGCATTAACACAAAGTCATCTTTAATGTAAAAATCAAACAGATTTTTTAAACTTAATTCAATAAAATGCATTGTCACAATGCATTGTCATAAAGCATATTTCATACATTCAAAACACAATGAAAGTTGCTTTAACCAAGTTTTTCAAAACGAATTGAAAGTTGCTTTAACCAAGTTTTTCAAAACGAATGTACTAGATGTCTAGATGTCCTGACATGATATTAAAAGTACTAGTAAATATAACAGTCTTCCAAAACAAACATAATTGTTTCATCCTACAATCCCATTTCTTTATAGCTTCATTTCATTCTCTCTCACCCTGCCTCCTCTTGCTATATAGGACCAGTTCAGTTGCCATTTTTTCCCTAAACAAAGGCATTGCTTCAGGATATATGCCATCCATGTCCATCCCCACCATTAGAAATTCAGCCATCTTGAGCATGAACATTCCACAATTTCCCCTGATGCATAACACCAAAAATTAAAAGAAATATTTTTTAAAATAAAAAAGTACACTATTATACAATCTGATTAAGCAAATTTATATCCTCTTACCCATCATCTTGCTGTGGACATCCTTCTACAGGCTCAACTTCCAAAAACCTTTCACCCATAGGATCCTCACCCATCTGTTCGTACACTTTGTGATAGTCCATTATTTTGGGCAGGAGGACTGTTATGCATGCAACATAGGACCTGATATCCCTTAGTGAATCACCTCTTCTAGCATTGGAGTTGTACACTCTTACCTTTCTTTGCTTGATATCTAGTACTACCAAAACCCAATGGTTGCCAGTATTCAGAGGGAAGTACACGAAGTCTGCTTTGCTCCAGTGTAGGCTATAGTTGTTTGCACATATTATGTCACGAACAATATATTCTTCTTGTGCTGACTTGTGGTATGTATAGTGCCCCTTTGATATAGTGTCAAGCTCCCGCTTCAGTATTTGCAAGAAAAAAGGCCCAGTTGTGGTGTAGTTTTGTGGCAGTTTGTAATGCACCCGTTTCATGCCCAAATAGTACATTACTACCTCAACATGCTGTAAAAAATAAAACACACATTTAACAATTACAAACTAATTCAACTGACTTTGAATGGCATTCAATACAAACAAACATACATATAAATGTACACTTGGGAGTTAGACTGACAAAACTATAACATTTTTGAATTTACCTTGTCAGTGATCCATTCATGATTCGTAAACATGTCATATAACCATGTTTTTTATTCAACTTTCATAGTGTCTAGCAAGAACGGTTTGTGAACCATTTTTTCTTCTTCCACTTTGTACCTTCTGCCATTTTTGTTTTTTTGAAAATTCTTCAACAATCCAACTTGGAGGTATGCTCTCACCCTCTCTATTTCATGATCTGGTGGGCTCTCTGTTGGATCTTCTGTGAAAGGTCCAACTATTTCCTTCAGTGAAGGCAAAAATTCATTGTCAGCTCTTTTCTTACCCTTTTCTCTCTTCCTCCTCTTTGGCGAATGCTCAGATGGAGTGTACTTCACTGGTGACCTAGCAAAACGTTTTTGTTTGGGAAGATCCTCTTGTTCCTGTGGCATTTCCATAATATATATTATTTATTATACTTTTTTATATTTATTGAAAATGTATAAATACACTCAATGTCATACAAAAAAATAATCATAAAAATATAAGCATTATAATCAATTTGTAAAATATTTTGTCATTCAAGTCAAGACAATATTACATAAAATGTTTTGAGATTCATAAAAATCATATATGCAATGGTGATATGTACTACAGAAGTCACCAATTTGTCAGTTTCATAACTTCACATAAACTGTATATCACATAACTTTACTAATTTGTCATTAATACTTCGAATGTCACTTTTATGTCAGTTTCATACCTTCCAAATGCTACTTGAATGTCATTTTATTTTTTTTAGTTACCTGATTAGGCTTCACTATGATTGCTGTACATGGATTGGAAGAATAGCTCTCAAAAGCCTTTTTCGCCACTTCATCTGCAGTTTTGCAAATCTCTTTGACAAATTGACTATTGTCCTGTGACCCCATCCCCCAACAAGATTCAGCAGTTTTGTCCATCTCTTGAGACTGACTCAATATGTTAAACGTAGGCATGTCACAAACTACATCTTCATTGTACTCGGTCTCTACAACATCTTTTTCTAGAACAGCATCCTCATTTTTTGCACCACCATCCCCAATATGTAAAATATCATCCTCAGTCTGTGCAGCAATGTACTCAGTCTCCTCTTGCACATGAATGTCAGCAGTATCATCATCCTTTAGCCTAGGTTCCTCATCATTCTCGTAATCTTGCCCAGTCATGTCATCATCTTCTTTTTTATTAACATTTTCTTCTTTTTCTGGACTTTCATTCTTTTCAACTTTCTCTGTTCTTTCTCTTGTGTCCTCATCTTCACCTTTATCACTGCCTTGTGACATCTGTTTGACAATAAGTAGAACTTCTTTTAAAAGATCTTCCTGCTTTTTTTGAGTTTGCTTAATGTTTTTCATTTATGCCACTAGTCTGGCAGTCTCCTTAGCTTGTTTCCTCATGCTTTTTTGCATACTATTACTATGTTTGCTCATGAACATAATATATTTCTCTGCTTTTCTTCCACTATCACTTGAATCATCTTCTTCATCCTCTCTCTCAGTGCCTTCATCACTCTGTGTTTCCTCATCACTTTCAAATTCCATCTCAATCTTCTTTCTTCTTTTAGAAGTTCCCTCGCCAGATTTACCTTTTCCCTTCATTACTTTTCTTGTTTTCCTTTTCATGCTTCTGGTCTGTATTGCCTTTTTTTTGCCTTTTTCTGCAATAGCTTTCATCTTTTCAGCATCTAGCCTCCCCACATTTGGAATAACAATGTCCATTCCATGTCCACCTCTGTCATTGTTTCCTCCAATCATGGCAATCTCTTCTTCTGTTGGTACGATCTGTGTCCACTCAAACTAAACAAGTACACTTTGTTAGTAAAAAATTGTAATCTTATAATCTAGATATATTTAGACTATTAAAACTAATACCTTGTCATTCTTGAATATTATTTGGGAAAGCACCTCCACTGTAGGTTTTTTCTTGAATTCCCACTTCAGTGTCCTTGGTAAGATGTTTTCTCTGCCCTTTATTAGCTTGCACAAACCACCTTTTGCAAGTCATGGGAATGTCTCAAATGCCCACCATTGTAAAGCCACCATGTACCCAGGGAATGTAACTCTGTCCCCTTTGCCTTTATCTAATGCCTCACAACTTTGTTTTATTTTGTCAACCAACTCGTTCCAAACATCATCACCCCATGGGTAAGCATTGAATGCATCCAAATCGTTTACCAGGTTTATGTAGTATGCTTTCATAGGCCTGGCAGTTTGATTCCCAAACAAACAATGGGACAATATGTGTAGTAGAGCCAGCTTCACTCCATCCTTTGTCATTCTTCCTTCATCAGTGCTCTCATAACTCTTCAATGCATTTTGGATATCTGCACGGGACACTGTAGCCTTGTTCCCAAAATATCTTCTCCATATATCTCCCTCCGGCTCCTCTGAAATATTTGGCTTCAGACTCCCAAATTTTAAACCACACATTGTTGCCACATCAGCCTTTTGAAAACTGATTACACTGTTTTGAATATGAAATCTGATGACACTGTCATCTGCATTTCCATTAACTTCAGTGACATAGTTTCCAACAAATCCTAACAGTAGTTGTCCACTATTCCAAGACATATCTTCAATTTTTAACATCCAACCAAATATGGTGTTACTGAAATCAGTCAGTTCCTCAGTGCTAAGACATGTCCTTATTCTTTTAAGAACTTCAGCAACATTGCAGTAAGAATTGACACGCAAGTTTTCCAAGTCCACTAACACTGACTTCTTAAAAGCTCTTGTTATTGTTTGTCAAGTTCACACAAATATAGGCATTATAATCAATTTGTAAAATATTTTGTCATTCAAGTCAAGATATTCATAAATAACATGGTAATATTAACTACTTAAGTCATTAGTTTGCCAGTTTCATACTTTCCCATAAATTGTGATAATTCTTGCAATTTCAC